GAACTGAATCACAAGGGAAGAAATGATCGCCGTATGCCAACGGCAGTGGCGAGCCGGATCGGCTCACCCTGAAACTTTGCCGGCATCGCGATCGGACGCCATCTCGCCACGCCACGTTGTGGCGCGTCATCGACGTTTCCAATCGACGCCGTCAAAGTTTTCAGTCGAACTTTGATGATGGCGATCCATTACATAGATCGCCAACGCCAAAGTTCGATTAAAATTTGCAATCACAGGTTAAAGACAAGAAATAAAAAAAATAAACGGATAATTTAAATTATATATTATATTTAAAAAATTGAAGTTAACATTTATTGACTGAAATATTTGTCATTATTCAATAGCTATATTACATTTACGTAGATTGTAAATTGACACATTCTTAAACCAAATATTTTCTTACATAGCCCGGATACAATACTTCAAACATAATGAATACGAATAATTTATATAAAGAAGAGCATGAAATATTTTATTTATAGTAATCTTTCATGAAATTACATATTACATGTTAATTATCTTTGAAAGATGCTTAGATCTGTTCTGATAAACACACTCGATCATATTTTTTCTACCCATAATATGCGCATTAATTCGAAGACAAATATCCTTGGGGGCTTTGAGTTTCTGCCGCTTTTTCTGCCGCTTATCAGCACTAAACCAATCATTTTGAAGCCATCGCTCGATACGATTTTCGGTCAACATCAAAAAGATATTTTTATTTTTTGTAGTTATGACTAGTTTTTGTTCATCCTGATCCTGCTCTAATATTTGAAGAATACGAATAAACTCTTCGATATACAAATCGGTTGCGTTCGCGGAATTATCAGATTTTTTCTCTACTCTAGGAAAATAAGTATCAATGGTTTTCTTTGAAATATATACCGGAGCGGATTGCACATACGGTTTTTGCGAACCAAGATAGGCAAGACGATCTGCCTGGTCATTTTCGTAAATACCGCTATGACCTTTCACCCAGTTGAAATGTGTCTTACCCGTTCGTGTTTGAATGAGCTTGTTCATCTGGTTTACCAGATCACAATTTGCCTTGGGTGAGTACACGTTATAGGATTGAATCACGTATGTGCTATCGGTGTTGATGAGCAAATCAAGATGAGACGCTGTTACTTCCAGAGCACGAATCACTGCGTACAACTCGGCACAATTATTTGTTTGTTGTGAACCGGGCAAACGTTCCGATAAATTGCACAAATCATCATCAGCAAAAAATACACCAATTCCGGCTGCTGAATTTAAAGAACCTAAATATGATTTTTTACTATTAACTGTTTTAAAATTATTACAACATCCGTCGGTCCACACGTTTAAAATACTATGTGGATCAATTATCTCGATAAATTCTTCAGCTTGCTGCTTTGAAAAAAATTTCTTATACAAAGCACCAGAGTATCCGTCTATCTGTTTTTTACACTCATCCCAAGTAGTATATACGCCCGGCTTGCGGCCGGCACGAACCGCGTAAAACCCTAATGTCGAGTAATATTGTATGGAAGACATGCTTGTGACCAGTCACCGTAAGGAAAATAGCACACAAGGGTAATTTAGGTTTACCAACCGGGTGGGAGGAGTGAGGTTAGTACAAAGTGAGGAAAACGAATGACCAAACGATGCACGGTTGGAGCCCCTCACCTTTAATATTTCTTCAAAAATATAAATTATATTTAATGAAAAATGAAGGTTTATATAGTTTTTTTAAATATGATAATAAATCAAAAAATTATGGGAATTGCTGATTTATACGTATTGATGTTGATTTAATTAGTACGTAAAATAAATATAGTATGATAATTTATTGGATGGTGATGAAAAACGGTTGCCGGTTTCATCTGAGGAAACTGGCAACCAAACTTTATTTAAAATAAAAATTAAACCTGATTTAAAAAAAAATAAAAAATTTTAATGTTGTAAATACGTAAGATGGTTTCCCACCAACTGGCACTCCTTACAGAGAGTGTGAATATGAAGA